ACATATAGCTCTCATCTTTTAACCAATCTCACACGGAACTTTTAGGGTGAAAAACCAAGAGCATGACCCATTTCCACTAGTAGCTAAGCCTGCAGGTGTGATCTGGGTTACCAGACGGGCGCAAGCACTGCCATTTCAGCAACACTCAGCTAAACAAAAGGTCTTCTTGACAAGAAATCTTAGAAAAGCAACGACGACAGGAATGAATACGTGTGCCTCAGAGGCTGATGCCTGCAGGAAAAGTCACCAGGAGCTGACTTCTTTCCATCTGTGTCCCACAGGGGTGGTGGGCACCACCCTGGCAAGAGAGGATGGAGGAAGACTGGCTTGGTTCTTCCTTTCCTCAGCAGTGCCCCATGGTGGAGGCACTTCTCCAAGAGAAGGAGATTTGCACGATAATTCCCGAAACCACTGAGCCAAGACTCAAAGCTACACATTCACACTCAACACACAACACACGTAGAAAGGAAGTCTGAGTGAGCCTCACAAGGAGGGCACCACACTCCTCTACTCATGGCTCACTTGCTGCCTGGGGATTCATATCAAGTACCACAGCAGTGGGATTCTTGCTTAAAGCATTCGGTGCTGAAAAACGTATTTAAACTTTTAGCCCAGCCCTGCTATTGTCAGTTACAGAACCTGAACTTCAGAGAGTTTTATTCACTCAACAAACGTTCATACCAAGATTGGCTGAGATGGGTCTTGCTCACCCAGGAGTAATGACCGTCCATATAATCAATAACACTTGAAGAAACGAATAGTTATATTTTAAAATCATATTATTTCAATATTAATAATATCAAGTTTATATGCTAATTGCCTTAGTATAATCTGATTGAGGAAGTAGGGACCCAGTTCAAACAGTTAAAATCAAAGAGGTCAGTTCACAGGGAGTATCCACCAAGAGGACACTCATCCTCATCAAACTGTCCAGAAGGGAATCTCCACATGTGCTTTCACGTCTGCCTCTGTCTCTGCCTCGAAAGGACGTGGGTCTGAATTCCGAGCATTAATGATCAGAGTGCAAACCTGAGCTAGAAGAAGGCGTTGTTTGTCCGGGGTGAATGCTCCTGAATCTTTGTAGATGATTTCAAGGTGGTATGTCTGATGCAGGGGCGTTTGCCTCAGGAAGAAACTGCAAGAATTCCTTGCATTTATACTATGTGGGTGTTGAGAAAAAGCCATAAAACACACCACTGTTATCAGAGATTTTCCAGTGTAGATAGCTGTGTACTGCTATAAATAAGACCCCAAATTATAATTTGTGTTAAAAACTAAGTATATATTTTTAAATATTACAAAATAACTCCAAACTGATACCTGTAGACTTTGCAACAAAATGAATACACTAACTCTCATTCAAGTTTTGAACCTTGATTTTTCAGGGTAATTTTAAAACCTCTCTAGCTCCACGTATCTATTTTGGAATTATTTTGTTCTTTACGTGTTTGTTTTAGTAAATTCTAATTAGGGGAAATAATAATAACTGTTACGGTTGCATTTTATCGGCTGCCTTTGTGTTTCCTAGGAAATCTTGTGTTATCTTATTTCAAGTTCCACTTGCTAAGCACTCTGGCTATCATCTTATTACAGGCGGGAAGTACAGTATCTGTTAGAGGATTTATGGTAATGCTGCTGCATCTAGCTGATCATAAACAGCATGGGGAGCCCCTCAGGGTCTCTTCGTTCTCCTGACACACTTCACTGAGGCCCATTAACACTTGTCTGTTATTGCCATAGACGCACTTTAATGAGCCTCTTGGAATTAGGAGGTTTGCACCAGAAACAATGGCTTCCCTAACTGAGGCATCACCCTCTCACTTTCTGATTTTCTAGCTCATCATTTTGTTTAACAAAATAAATTCTCTCTTTGATAGTAGACTTTGAAATACTATGGATATTTCTTCTTCAAATTAGAACAGTCAATGGTTTCTAATACTGAGATAACATTGCAGAAAAACATGATAGAAAGTTAACAATTTCTACATTTCCATTAATGAAGGTAATTTCTTTTGTTGTTGTTACAGTAAGATAAAATTGAGCTGACATTTGGAAGTGGCCTTGTCATCAGCAAACTATATTTTCTTATGAATTAAATTCTCTTATTTCCAAAGAATAAACATACAAAATATTTCTCCCGTATTAAATTGTTTTCTAATTACATCAAAGTGTTAAAGGAGGCAATCATCTGAGAAATGGGCCAGTAATGGCTCAATCTAAATATTAAGTGCATTTGATTTTACCTTCAAACCTAGGACATGTATTTAAAACTCCTCAATATCTTAGGTTTCAAAGTAAATCAATTAAATGTTAAAAAGTACATCTAGTTAGCCATTATTAGAGTTTATAACAAGGTTTCTGAGTAAAATTATTTACACATCTTCTCAAGGTGCAGTTACGTATCTTGAAACGTAGCTGTTGTGAGTGTCACAGCACAGGGGAGCAAACCCTCCTTACACCCTCCTCCCTTCTCTTACTTAAGGTATTTTGTGTTGTCGCTCTATCCTTTAGAAAATGAACTCAGAGGAGAATTGGTGAATTCCTATCCAGTGGGCATCTTCGAACCCTGGTGGACGGCAGAAGAATATCAGGTCCAGGGATCACCCACCCAGCGTGGCGACAGTGCAGGTACTTCTGCCCAGCACGGGGCTCCTGGCGACAGAGTACAGGTACCCCTGCCCAGCACGGGGCTCCTGGCGACAGAGTACAGGTACCTGTGCCCAGCACGGGGCTCCCGGGATTGCTGCAGGCAGCCCCTCCTCTGGTGCTTGTCCCATTTGCTGCTTTGAGTAAATGCTTTCATCTTAGCTGCCTGGTACTTCATGGCTTCTGGGAGGCAGTTAAAAGTTGCATTGCGCATCCTCTCCAAAGAGACAATTCCTGCCAAACAGAGCCCTTTGCAGTTGAATTAGATGAGGCGTAGCTTGTCCTCACTGCTGACGTTGTATCGGGCAGGAATGATGTGAGCCTCCTTTGTGGGTGCTGAGAGGATGCCTCGGCGTGGCCAGTGGGGAGGGAAGGGTGCCCATGACCCTCACGTGGAAATGGCTGGTGTAGAATCACTGCACACAGAATCCACACTTGCAGCAGAAGGAACTGCTTAGTAAAGCACTTGGGGTCTGATTTGGAGGATTGGGGAGGGATGAGATTGGCACATACCCAGTGGCTGCTGCCTGGCAGCACATATTTTTAGGGCTGGAGGTCGACAAGACTGAAATATGGCCCAAATCTCAGATCCTGCAAAGTCTCTGGTTCTGAACGAGTGAGTGGGATGGGAACTCTGGTGTTATCTTCTCAATACTCACATTTCAAAGTACTTTTATATATGTCACTCTGATGAAGAAAAGAAGAAAATTCTGGTAAAAATGGCAATTTCTCAGCATGCTCTATAAGGAAAGCTGTGGCGTGCATTTTAAGGTTCACTGTGCAATCGTGATTTATTTGTCTGCCGACCGCCCCATTTGCCTGTCTGATAATAGAACTACTTACCACTGCACAGAAATTAGAGGCTGGGATTGTCTTCCATATGCCACAAGCTTGTGGGTGCTGCAAGCTTCGAGAGCTTTATGAACTGCTGTAATAGGTCACAATTGTTCTAATCATTTTCTCGTCTATACCCTATTCGTTTTCCTGAAGAAACTCACTGCACTCGTTGCTTCAGTTTTGGGAAGGCATTATGTTTAATCGTACATTTCCCCGAGGTTAAAACAACAACAACAGCAAAAAGAAAAAACAAAAGAACCTATTCACACTGAGTGTTCATGCACACTTGGCTTCAGAAGCAGTTAAAGTTTCTGAACTGTAGGTGTTTCATATGTCTAGGCTGTCTTGTTTTATCTCATCTCATTGAATTTTAGTAATAAGTTAAGGACGTTTAATGACATATTTTATAAGGGTGTAATGTTTACATGTGGCTTCATTGAATTGGATTCTGGCGTTGAGTTAGATGTTCGCATTTCAATGAGCGTGCTCAGTGTAGTTGGATATAAAGCATTCACATACCAATCTCACCCGGAATTACATGAAACCACAAGGAAAAACAGTGAGCTGGATGTGCAAGCAACAGCCATGTTCATACTTGGCTTTCAGTAGGGTTCTCAGCTGAGGCATCACCTTTGATTTTGAGAGGTGTCCGTTTTCAGAGTGGGAGAGCAAGTTGAACTTGGTTAGGGGAAAAAAGAGATCTCGAGGTTCTAGCAGCTGAAATCCTGTCCTGCTTTGCCCTGGAGACTGCCATGCTCAGTGGCGTGTACACCGAGATCCCTCCAGCCAGGGCTTGGGTGAGCAAACCCTTCTGGGTGTAAGACAAGCTTAGCACCCAAAGGTCTCCAGGGGCCTCCAGATCCAATTAGATAATAAGAGCAAGACACACAACCAATGCTTGCATTTCACGTCAGTCTTTCCATTCAATCCTCATTGTCTTCATTCAGTCCTCACCAATCATTCCTCACTTTCAGGGCTCTGGTAGCAAGGCGTAAAGGTCACCGTGACAGCCACACACCGTGAAGTATGCAGACACAGAGCCTCTGACTTCTGGGATTTGTTATCAATGTTCTTCTTTTTTAAAGATTAATATTTGACTCTCAGGGGATGGTCAATATCTATTTTCTCTATGTATGTCATAAGTACTTTAGTAAATGGGTGATACAATGAAATATATATAAAACAGTACCTAGAAATAAATAGATTTAGCATTATAGAATGGGAATACATTGCTATATTAATGAGAATACATCTTCACATAATAAGCTATAAAATGGCAATTTGTAAATCATTGTGTTACATAGACCTGGTGGGCCAACATTTTTTGTAGAGCCAGATACTATTTTAGACTTTGGGGAGGGAGTGGTCTCCGTGCAACTGCTCACCACTGCCACCACTGTCTGAAGTGAGCCATAGGCAACAGCGAGCAAATGACATTGCCGCCTGACAATAAAACTTTATTTACAGCATCGGTAGAGAACAGATTTGGCCTGCGAGCCTGAGTTTGTCAACCCATGGTGAAGACTTAAGTTCCCAGTTCTGAAATAGCCACAGTCACTTTTGGCAGAGAAATGGTCACTGACTCCTCCCTGGGTGAGCGCTCCCTTGCAAACTCGCAGGACAGAGTCTAAAGTTACCGTCCACAGACGTGCTGCTCCCAGGAAAGCCCTTCGCTGATGCTTGAGCCTGGTACCCAAGGTGGAGCTAGCAGAAGCTTCCACAAAGTCTGAAAGAAGGATGAAGAGAGCAAGGTTGTCACCTCTGTGGAAATCAGAGCAGAATTCAAGAGACTCGAAAGATTTCAAGCGGAGGAAACGTTCCTAGTGTGTTTGTGCCTGTATCACCCTGTCTGACTAGAAATATCATCCTGAAAACTGTGTGGGATGTGAAACCAAACCAAATCCAACTGGAAGGGGTGTTTCCACGCCTGGATACAGAGGGAGTTCTGTCCGTAAAACCGCACCTAGGCCAAAAGAAAACATTTTCCCGGAAGGGTGAGGGATGCCGGTCAGCAGTCTGTGGGGCAGAGCCGGGCGTGGCCACGCGACAGGACCAGACCACATGACTGCTTGGGGTGGAATTCTATTCGGCCTGTTTTCCCACATCCTCTGCAACTACAAAACAAAAACATAAACATATGAATTTGACACATTTAAAAAAAAAAAAAAAAACATAGCGAACATGGAGAATAAAATACCAAACACAAAAGAGAATGATTTCCAGTTGCAGGGGACTGTACGCCACCAGCTTGATAAAAAGCTTAATGCTGAAAAAGACCTTAACGATGCCATAGATGTTTTTAAAGGCTCCTTATGTTTGCCTCGGACTTCAAAAATCTTATTTGGCATGTGAATCTGTGTCATACGTGATTTAGCCAAAACAGAGCATTAGTTGACATTTTCCACTGAGATGACTTGCTGGAATCGGTGTATCTTTAACGTAGCATCCTACATGATAATACGTTATTACAGAACAAGCCAAAAGAGGTGATCGAGAGAGAAACAGCAGGAACACAACCTGCCGAGTGTGCCCCTACCGTACTGCCCAAGGAGCTGAGAGAGGAAAGGTCTGCTGGTCCCGTAAGTAGTTCAGCGTCCAGCAGAAATTTCCCAGAAAGTTATAGGACGTCAGACTGGAGAACAAATCCTGATTCTACCCCATCATCTGCAGAGAAGTTACTTGGCTCCTTGAACCTGAGTTTCAGTTTCCCCATCAGTAAAATGGCCATAATAATTGCTTCTTAACAGAACTGTTACAAGGATTACATGTTATAAGTGTCTAAAACACTAAATTTAGTCCTTGAAACATAGAAGATGTTTTAGAATTTCCCAGAGCTGTGTTGTTTTTGAAATGAGAAGTGGACAGAGGTGCCCGGTTCCCCTCCAGATGGCAGCTCCCCAGTGAAGACCACCGACTGCATCACCTGGCTCTGGGGCCTTGGGGCTGAGCATTAGAAAGGTTGGAATGGGTTCGGCCTCCGTTATTTCTTGGAAGTAAAAACTCCTGGAAAAAGGAGAGTCGCTCTCAGGTAGCAGAGGCACAAACAGCCTGGAACACTGATTCTGTGTTTGAAGTAAAACACGCTCAGCGCTGACCAGTCTCCATGTCAGCATCTTTTATCCAAAGCACTTCAGGGTCATCTGAAGCATTCGGAGAGCTTGGGGCCCTGAAGGCGGAGTGTGGCTTATTTGTGTACCCCGCTCTCATCACATCACTTGCTATATCTATTGTGTAGGCACCCGAAAAATGTCAGTCTCAGCAATGGGTGGGTCCATTACCTTCCCGTGTAAAGCCTTGTTTTCATTTGTTCATAATTTAGAAACAGCTGATGTGCAAGGACCTGCAGTAAGTGTTATAAAGTGTGAAAGTAAGATCCAGAACTTTCCGTATGCACCCCAACACACCTAAGGAGTGCTTTTAACTGAAGGTCAAAAGTAGCAGAAAGAATTACTTTTTATGTTCAGCTCTGACTTGGCACTTGACTACCTAGCATGCACATGTAGTGCTCTTTTAAATGAAATACAATGCACACCCTCATCATGCAACCTTCCATCTTTTTTACTGCACACCCCTCCGACCTGGAGCCTCTGGGATGCCCGTGCTTCCTCCTCCTGTTGAGCCCACACCGTTCTGCAAAGTTACTCATAGATCTACAGGTGCCTCATAAGTCTACACACACATCCCACCGATGTGAAGTCACCTGTTTTTTTGAGTTTCTCATTTGTTGTTGTTTGTGGGTGCAAGTGAAGGGATAAAATTTAACACACATCTAAATGAAATAAATGCCTATCTTTTTAAATAAAATGCATTATAAGTGAATTATTTCAAATACCCCATCCATATGCAAAAAAAATATTTTCTTTTGTGCATTTGTATAACATATGTTTGAGTCAACTACTACATGCCAGATGTTATATAGAAATGGAATCAGAGAATTCTGCAGAAAAGCTGTTCTTGTTGAGCCGTTTAATAAGGGTGAGGGCATAAGAGCAGCCACAACAAGAGAATAGCTGGAGGAGGAGCTGCAAAGTCATGCGGACGAAACCACCCCAAAGGGGGAATCTGTGTGTTCCTGGAGAAGGCACGGAGGGCTGCAGAGTTACCTCCCAGGCTGGCTCCAAGGACACCTTTTGACTTAGACAAGG